TTATAGAAAATTAAGAATATTAATATTAACAAAAAACTCAACAACGAATAATGTTGAATGTAATTTATTTATTAAATTACCTATAACTTTTATACGTCATCTTGAATTTGGAAACTACGCCGTAAATTCTGATCCAATTTTTAAGCAAGTTTTCCTCATTTTCCCGTTACACATTCGATAACCTTGGACCCATGCCCTATGCAAGTGTATTTGCAAAAAAAAATATCCTGCCCGAGACGCTGCCAGCAGCTGGGACAACAGCTCGCCGTCGAGTGCCATTGAGCGTAAATTGTTGTTCCTTCACATTTTGAGGATGATTGAGAATATCCACAAAGGGTCTGGCCACAGACAGAATAGAGAATGATGACGCAGGGGGCGAAAGGGGCTAGCTAGCTAGCTGGGTCGCTGTTCGGCCAGCCTTTGCCATTTTCAATGCGCTTTTCAAATATTTAATAAAGCCCAGACACGGCAGCAGGCGGCATTGGCCCCAGCCGTTTCATTCCTCAATTGTATCTCGTAATGCAATTCGCTCAGCAACATTTTTGCCTTTTCTTTTCCAATATACTTGCCAGCCTTAGCCTGGTTGCTAGACTCTTTTTGCGGGCTTCTGCTGTCTGTTGATGTTCATTTTGAAAATGTCAAGGACTTGTCAGACTAATGCAGTTTTTTTATGCATTTCCCCTCACATTTAGCTGTTGAATCAATTGAATTTGAAATTTGATTTCATCAAAACACAATCTAATGCGATGCTTAAGCATATCCCATAAGTGATGTAAGTGAGAGTAAAGTGAGAAATTTTCTCTTATGGGGTATATATTATATAGCTATGTCTATGCAGACTGTCTTTGGCTATATATACATATGATTAAAAAGAATCATTTATAATGATTTAAAAAAATATATCAGTTCATTTTCCCTTCAATTCTTTTCTCCAATTGTGTCCTCAATTTCGAGCATATTTCTAATCCCTCAAATATGTTTCTCTTTATTCGATTCAATAATGTTGTCACACCCACACAAAAATCTAGCTTTTATGCTGTTTGTGTGTGTGTTTGCGTGGGCGTGGTCAGCTGCTAACATGTTTATCCGGCCATTTTTCCTGTGCTCTCATGCTCCAAGCATCAGCTTTCGCTTCTGAAATATGTTTATTTTTAGGAAACGTCAGGCATCAAGTTATCACTTTATTAAAAAACGCTTAGTCACATGATGGGTTTCACAATTGCCGCGTAAAAGTCCCGAGTCACACACCCACACACACATACACACGGAGAGAAAGTCGTTTTACTGCGTAAAATAAAGGCCTTTGCCAAGTTGTGCTTATCTTGAAGCTGGCAATGCCAGCTAGACTTTTGTCTGACATGGGTGTCCCGGATTTGGAGAGCGAGAGAGTGAGCAGGAGAGAAAGAGAGAGGAAGAGAGAATGTGGTTCTAGCTGAGTGGCAGCAAGATAATGTTTTGCTAGCTGCTTTTTCATTTTCATTTTCATTTTTTTTTTTTTTTTTTTTTTTTTTTTTTTTTTTTTTTTTTTTTTTTTTGCTTTTGCTTCGCATTTCCGTTTTGTTTTAACATAACACTTGAATTTATGCAATGGCGCGTGTCCAACGCAACGTATACGTAATGGCCCAACGCTAAAAGTGCCACTAAAAACGACAATGACAACGGCAACGGCAATGGCAACAGCAACAGCAACAATCACAACAACAACAGCAACGGCAACAAACAATAACAAAGATATTTCTTACATTTTCATTTGCTGCCGAGCAACATAAGTTACGCAGGGGCGTTGCCACACACACACACACACCAGCACACTGTCACACACACACACACACAGAGGTACAAAGGCAAGCATTCAATGTGAGCAGCAACGCTACAGATAAGACAACAAAACAACTGTGGCCAGCGATAATATGGCGGATGGTGTTGGCATAACACTTGGCGACACGTTTTGGGCTTGGACCTAGCACTCGCTGCTGCGCATGACATTTTATTGTTGTTGTTGTTGTTGCTGCGGCTGTTACAACTTTTATTGTGCTGCTGCTGCTGCTGCTGCTGCTTGAAACTTGTGCAAGCCACTTTGCAATTTTGTGTGTTACTGAAAGGAGCAGAGAAAAAAGCATTGCCTACTTATGCGCGCAGTGCGCCTGCACAATGGGCCAAATAAGCACTTCTGGTGTTCAAAAATGTATGGCTGAAAATGGAAGTTTGTAGCGAAGTTTTAAGAGTTTTCACCAACATTCTCTAGCTGAAACTTAAATAAAATATTTTATTTTGCATTAACTTTTCGGAAAGTTTCAGCATTAGAATTTCCAATTAGAACTTTTATTTTGCTCGAAAAGTTGTTTTATTTCTATTAGCATTATATGCATTCACATTATGTCTTAGGTGTAATAAACATATTTATGCAGCAGTAAATATAACTTTTTATTAGTTCATGCACTTGCAGCAATTGCCTCAGGAAATATGTATATTACAATAAAAATATAATTTATGAACTGGGCCACACCCACGGCAGATTATTTTATACATATTAATCAAGTTATTATATCACAAATTATATTTGAAGGAAATTGAGGCTTTGCTTTGTGTATATATAAATATTTTTATACATTTTGCATACCCTGTAACATATGAGAATCTTTTATCAAACGCTCATGATAGACGAATTATCATGCTCTTGCTTTACAAATCAACATTGAGTCTATAAACAAATACTTTGCTTGAAGTGCATATATTGTATACCCTGTAGTCTAAAAGTGTTGGGCATTAGCATTTTTGACAGTTATTGCGAAGACTGTGAAACAACGGTTTCAAAATTATGAAACAAATCTATGAACATTATTTCATCTACATTTAAATCGTCTGCTCTAAATCAAATACCCTGTAATTTCTTGAAAGGAGTTGAGCACTTTTTCTGGCCATCATTCGAAATTTAAAATATATAAT